GCTATCACCGAAGTAACAACAGTTTGCATAATAATCATTTAATATACATTTAATAAATAAAGCAGGGCATTTTTAAATGTGTATATTTAACCCACTTCTCGCAGCATGTCATGAACCAATTCTGGCTTTATATAGGCAGCCATTAGCTTGATAAACCACACTAAATGTGAGATTAAATGTGTAATTTAGTCTTGCCCCGATGAATGAGACATCAGAAGATTGTTGATGAGAACAAACCATGTCTGTGTTTATTGGCCAACATCTGACCAATGAGCGCAGCTGACTGACATAGTAAGCGCGACAGAAAGTTGGTGGGGTAGTGTAAGCAAAGAGCCTGTTGGTAAAACAGTGAATATATCCTTAAAAATGAATGAGCGTAGAGCCTCTTCCTGCTCACGTCTCAAAGAAAAACTCCAAGTCTAATCCTTCCGAAACTGATTCCAAAACGAGAACAGAGTCAAACGAGAACTGTTCAAGAGTTGTTTCCATCTTCCTTGTGCTTTCTCTAGCGTCGCACAGCTATGCATCCAAAAATTCAAAACACTTCTCTGCGTTGTGATTGGCCCTCCAGTTCTAGGGCCTGGGGCATTGATCGAGGCTAGACCACTCGCAGGCAAAAATGATTTTGGCCGCTGGTGATTGGGGCTAGTTTACTAGGCTATGCAGCCATCTCTTCTATTCTGTAAATATCCGATGCTATTTCTCATAATCGGGTGACAGTGGCGTCGGCTGAAGGAGTTCGGTCTGCAACCGGGGGATTGTCTGTCTCTCAGTGTCGGTGGCGCCAGTGTACGGCAGCCTTGCTTCTGTCAGTGAGCCCCAGGGCAGCTGTAGCTACGTATGTATTTGCCACCATCATTGTGTGCGTGAATGACTGAATGTAGTGTAAAGGGCTTTGGTCAAGTCTCCTGACATGTAAGTAGAAGCCATTTACCATATTGTAGGATTTGGTACTTCCTGTGAAAGTCGTTTTTCAGTTATACATTTCTTACTGGCCACAATTAAAAGACTAAACAAACATTGATCTTTTTTTTTTTTAATCTTTTTTTTAATATCCAATCCTGATGAATGTTTCCAAAAAAAGAGGGTCTTCATATCAAAGGGATTACACATTCCACATTTCTGGTTTTAATGTAAATAAAAATATCTTTCAGTTAATTATAACCTTTTTTAATGTAGGCGTTATACAAAACCTGTTTAATTGTTTTTTTCATACAGAAAGGCTGTTTTTATTACTTCTAAAACTGTCTTTCTTCCCTAGCCTGGCCAGCAGCAGCCGTGACAACCCCGTCCATGTGTGGGATGCGTTTTGTGGCAAAGTGCGGGCCAGCTTTCGGCCCTACAACCACCTGGACGAGCTGACGGCGGCCCACTCGCTCTGCTTCTCGCCGGACGGAGAACAGCTGTACTGCGGCTTCGAGAAAATGGTCCGAGTCTTCTACACAAAGCGTCCGGGCAGAGACTGCGAGGAACGTCCAACTGTGGGTCAGTCTGAGGGATTTTTACCTTAAATCAAAGACTAAACAGTGAATGCTTTTTTTTTTTTGCATAACCTCATTTTTGTTTTGTTTTGATTTAGAATTAAAAGAGATTTAAAGTATGATTTATATTTCAACATACCCCTCATATTAAAGCTAGTTATTATAATAATTACTCACAGCGTGAAACCTCTGCTGTTAAAGACATGTCAAGCTGCTCTGGTGAAGAAAAATCAAATGAAATTACAAGGCAATATTCAGGCCATTATTCCCAGAAAACAAAATCCTCATAGAAGTTATAACTGATGCGGTCTTTAAAAAGAAAAAAAACTAAAACCACTTTGTCTGAAGTCATTTGTCTGCTGTTTTCAGTAAGCGGCAGCAGTTTGACAGCTCGCTGTCACGTCTCTCAGGCTGAAGTCTCCTTGAACGAACCAACAAGCAGAGTTTTTGTTCTTCAGACAACAGCTAAAGAGAGCGAGATGTTTACTGTGATGAATTCCTCATTTCTGTCACGCTCTTCAAACTGCTTCTGTTTGTTCAAAGAGTGTTTAGATGTGCTGACATTAACAGCAGTCTGTTTATATGGATGCAGATTTCTTTTTTTCTTACTAAATGGAACGAAGAATCCTGTTCCAGAACAATCACTTTATGAAAATGTCAGCAAATGTATTTTTCTTTTTTGTTTTTTTTTTAAGTCAAAGGCTGCTTTTTATTTTTCTCCTGAACTCGTTTCTTATCGTTATATGAACCAAAATTTGCAGGAAAATGGACGACTTTCTTTTTCTTTTGTCTTTCAGTAGAAAGGACTTGAACACGTGATAAGAGAGCATAAAGAATGCATCCTATTTCAGTTCCAAGGTTTCAACTTATCACAGCATCATATCTTTGCCATCGCTTGAACCTGAACAGAGATTCTACTTTCATTATTTGCTGCACAAAGATGAAGCCAAAAGGGAAAAGCTCTGTGCATCCTTGCTGCTTTTGTTGGGTTTAAGAGCAAGTTATTAAAAATCCACTTGTTTGAAGTATCGTCAGGAAGCCTGAGCACCTCTGAAAGCAGTTTTGCCATTTAGCTGCTCTGGAACATAAAGGGCACTAAGGCAGAAAGACGTTAGCAATGAGGGAAGCAACGATCACCACCCATCAATCCTGAAAGGTTATAAGGTCATATCCAAACGCTATAAAATCTGCTTTAGATTGACAAAGATTATTGATGAATGGAGGAAGCTTAAGAGCATTAAGCGGAGAAATCCCCTCCTAAAATCTGAAGCTGTGCTCTGAGGAACAGACCCTATTCTGCTGGCCTCAGTTAAACATTAGTCCTAAACTTCTTCATTCCTCAGTTTAAAGTAGGGTTTGGCAATTAATTTAATTTGCAATTTAATCACAATTTCACAAAATGCAATTTTCAAATCGTAGAGGCGCTCGATTTTGGTTATTTTAAAATAACAGAAAATGGCTGCATTTCTCACCCTTAAAGGGGAACGCCGTTTTTTTTTTTTTACGTCGGCCCCTTTATTTTACGTTATTGCATCATGTTCTACTCACCCATATGAGTCTTGTGTCATTTGGAGCTGCTGTGAAGATATTCCATTAGTTACATGCAAGTAACGTCTTCCTATGGGCAACGACTTGAAGGCACAACTATCTTTAAAAATGAAGCGGCTCGTGTATGACGTCATCCACGTGCGCCGGCTACCATTCATTCATCCTTTCTGCTGAACTGCTGCTAGTTTCACTCACATGCCTGGAGGATGTCTGGTGCTACTACCACAGATGATCTCGCTCTCCAAATGGAATTGAACGATTCAGATTAGCTAACCCAGTGTTTTTCAAACCTGGTCCTCACGGCTCCCTGCCCTGCAGGTTTTAGATGGTTCCCAGCTTTCACACACCTGTTATCAATTGATATCAGATTATCAGGCTTTGCTGAACTGCAATCATCTGAATCAGGTGTGCTGAACCTCAGAAACAGCCAAAACATGCAGAGCAGTGTGCCTTGAGGACCAGGGTTGAAAAACACTGAGCTAGCCGAATGAATAGAAGGGGTAAAGCGTAGCTGCCTGTGGCCCGGGCTGCCTGTTACGACTCCACTCCGGATGCGCGGATGACGTCATACACACGCCACTCTGTTTTTAAAACATATGAATATAAAAAATATAACCTTTGATTTCTGGGGGACAGTGATTCGCCTACATGTTATTAATGCTGGCGTACCATAAATGATAAATTATAAACAGTTCAGTTTGGGCCTTCAAGTTGTTGCCCATAGGAAGATGTTACTTGGAAATAACCTAACAGAATATCTTCAGAACAGCTCCAAATGACACAAACCTCATATGGGCAAGTAGAACATGATGTAATAACGTAAAATCAAGGGCCCAATGTAAGAAAAACAGCGTTCCCCTTTAAGGCGGCGCTAATATGCTGGAACCGTACAGACGGGCAGATAAAGATGCAGCTAGCGCACAGATTCATGCAAGATAGTAGAAGTAAGATCTTTTTCACAGTTAAGTCCTGCAACAATGGACTCTGATGATGCTCTCAAGGTCATGAAGAACCTAAACCCTGGAGTGAAACATTTACAGGATTGTGGTTAGTGCAAAGTAAAGTCAAAATAAAATCACGATATTGGTTTAAAATATTAGCAATTTTCCTCTTTGGCAAAATTGTTCAGCCTTAGCTTAAAGCTTGGCTCACATTTAGAGAATATTGGATGTTTAAGATCAAATATTTTGTCCGGGGGGAAAAATTAGACAATATCTGTTCATAAGTCTAGAGCTATGATTATTCAGGTTATCGTTCCGCACAGCCTCCACTCTGTGTTCCTTAGCAAAACCCTTAACCCCTGATTACTCCTCAGGTGTCGCACAATGGCAGCCCACTGCTCCTTAAGGGGATGGCTTAAATGCAGAGTTAAATTTCTCCATTGTGAGATCAATAAAGTTCAATTATAGTTTTTAGCTCCTTCATGATAAGGAACAAGTGGTGTCTGAATTTAAAAGGGAGTTGTGCGATTTGTATCTGCTGTAGTCTCGTCTGTAGTTGACATGAGATACTGAGAAGATTTGAATCATGCTGAATATTACCTCATGCCTTTGGTTTGCAAAGATCCTCACACTGAAATGCAAGACTTTTAGAGGAATCCAAAGAAGAGAGGTTGGGCTATATCACCTTGAGCTGTTTGGGAGAAGAACAAAACAAAACAGAAGAAAGCCATTTGTAAAGCACAGCGGTGGTGGGCTGGTGATTTGGGCTAGGCCTCAGGAGTTGCTCACCTCGCAGTCATGGAGGCAAACATAAAGGAGTCTTGGTACCAAAGTATGTTAGATTCATAAATCGTCTGAGGTTTGCTCCATCGAGGTCGTTTACACAGCAAAGCCAAACAAAGTGGCAAAGGTACAACAGGAGGACTAAAATGGCCCAGTCAAAGTTCAGACCTGAATCTGAGTATGAGGCTGTGTTGGAGCCTTAAACCAGCTGGGAAGAAATGCTCGTCTGCAAACCAGAACAAGCCGAGTCAGTGTTTATAAAAAGTCGGCCAAAATTCCTCAACAGCAAAGCGATGGACTGATAAAGACATCCAAAACGCGACTGTTGAGTTATTGCTGCTTGGCTTCCTCTGTGTTTAACAAATAATGACTGTATGGAGTAGTTCTGTGTGTTTTTATAAGGTTGAGTTTGGATTTAAATAGTTTTAGAAAGCAGGATCAGTGTTTGATGATCTAAAGCAGACGGCATTAGCATGAGCGTACACATGCAGTGAGGTCTGATTTGAATCCATCTGTACAGAAATGGTCCCCGGTGAAAACACGTTAATCACTCTGCTAAATGTGTTTCTCAGTGAAGAAACGAGGCCAGAACGGCATCATCTCCTGCTTCGCCTTCAGCCCGTGTCAGTCGGTGTATGCCTGCGGCTCGTACTCCCGCTGCGCCGGACTGTACTCCTGTCAGGACGGCACGCTGCTGGCCCTGCTGCCCACCCGCCACAACGGAGGCCTCACCCATCTGCTGTTCTCCCCCGACGGCAACTACCTGTTCACCGGCGGTCGCAAGGTCTGCACACAAACACAGAAACATGCAGAGAAGAGGCCGGCAGGAAATCACCCACCTGCTTTTCATGCAGTCATTTTTTTTCTTAGCATCCAATTAGGAATTAGGACATTTATGTTTCACAGAGTGTCACAAAACCTTAAAGCTGCATAATGAATCTCATGTTACAGGGTTGTTTTGGTCTAGTTTTCAGCAGCTTTGGCTTTAAGCAGATAATTATTTTTCTAAATATGATAACTTGTCTCAGGTGTCTGGGAATCTGGCAGCTTTATCCGCACAGAAACCAAAGTAACAGCATCCTCTGACAGTGAGGTCACAATTAAAGTCGCCCACAAACCCTTTTTCACGGCGGGCCGCTGTTAATTATGACAGCGTGTTCAAACATATTAGTAAACACCAAGATTGAGTCAGACAATTAAGGCGAGTTTCCACAAACACGCTGCCACTGGTGGCATGGCTGGAGGTTTAGGGGCACTACGATTAGAAGGGCTTCAGTTCAGCTTTAATTTAGCAGCGAGGTATCCGGAATCTTTACGAAAATAAACAACATAAAAAAAATCTGAAATGACGGGTAAGCTTTTTCAAATGTTACGACAAGATTCAGTGGACTTTTTCAAGTTTGTTAGACCAACAGAAAAAGATGCATATTTGAGCTTTGGAGGGAAGATGATGCGTTATAATGCAAATAAAAAATGCTAATTAGAACATTTTATTTTTCTGCCTTTTACTCGGATACCCAAAAAGGGGTTCTATATCATCTACTTGCTTTTAAAGTGCAACTTATTAGTAAAGAGAGATGAGCTGTGTGTAATTCAACCTTCTCGCGGTTCTGTGAAGATTGTAGACGTTTATTAGTGAGTAAATGGTTTTAAGGAGACCAGGGAACTCAGTGGAGGGGCTTTAGATTAGAAAGGACTATCGCGGGCCGTGAACGTCTCGCAGAGTGACTGATCATTTTATCTGAAGATGGAAGAAGTGTTGCACAGCTGTAAACAAACCAGGATATGATGGCCCACCTAAACACAGATGCTGCAGCAGCAGTTTAAAAGGTTAGGAGGAGCTGGAACAGCTTAATCCCACTTGTTAGCTTTTATCCAATCAGCGGTCAAACAATCCCACTGCACTGTTACCTTGAGCTAACTAAGCTAAAATCATAGCTTTGTGCAGTGCTTTATTTTTCTTTTAATATATAGTAATAGGAGAATTCTTGCCAATTAAGAAAAACCCCAACATAAAATGTTGTCGATACACATTTGTTATTCCTAATGCAGCTGTGTGCAGAGGTGGAGTTGGCTGCACTAATTAAACCCGTTTTGGGATTTCTGAACCCATTATCTGATTTGTAAAAGTTCAATAAAATGTCTTAAAACATCTGTTTCTGCATCTGGCCTAGATCAGAACCTATTTGGTTCAAAAACGACACTATGATTGTAATAATATTCTACACTTATAGCACATAAAGACCCTAATTTAAAGATGACTCATAATAGGCTAAAAGTATGTTTCTGTTTTGGTGGGAGTTCTTTACAGGAGAGTTCAAAACAAAGAGCAGACCTTCAAATTATTAATGATATTTTTTAACGGATTTCGTCCGGTGTTTCAGCTCTTGATGCTCTGTTCCGATTTTTTTTTTATGTTTTTTTTTTTCATGGTCCTTCAGGCTGTTACTAAGCCCCACAACTACCCGCATTCACAGACGTCGGTGTAGACGTCACACAGCAGAACGTTGGTGAAGATTCTTAGTCATCCAGGTCTTAGTCATTCCAAAAAGGTTTAAAAAAGACGCTTTGCTTCCCATTAAGGAAGCTTTTTCAGTTAAAAATGTCAGAAATAGAGTTGAGTTCGAGGCTTTGTAGGGTGGACCAAAAACAAATCCTTGTTTTGGCTTAAAAAACAGAAAAAAATGTAAGGAAGTAATAACAGATGTTGGAATTTTGACGTTATTTTCACATCATAAGAAGGCAGAGAATGGTTAAAGAGCAGAATTCATTCCAATGACTTTCTGTGGAGCAGTGACTGCTGTACTGGATGAATGAGTAAGAACCTGGATAACGAGACGTCAGATGAAATACAACAGCTGCATTCAGACTGCAGATGCTTTAAAATCAGATTTGTATCAGCTTTAGCATAGAAGTGGCACAAATTTCTTTTTCTTTTTTTTTTTTTAGGTGAAAAGATCAGAATTGGACTGTTCACAGTTCTATGACTTGCATATGAGGAAAATGAATGTGGTTAAAATTTTCCTGCAGTGTGAAGGTAGCCAAAGATTAGTACAACTCTTCCTGTCAGCTATCATCTGCATCACAAGCTATCACAGCAAAATAAAGTCTTTCAGCTATGAGATACTCTGAGATCTTCTTCTTTTTTAGCCAACTGCTTTTGATGCTCCTCATTCTTCCGTCATTTCTCTAACCTCTAACCCAACTGGACATACTGACCTTTTCTAAGGAGGTCTAGATGTAAAAGTAAAGCATTAACATATGGTGAGATTAAGCTTTCACAAATCAGAAACTGGGTATAAACCTTCTGCTATTAGCTTGAAATATAATAATCTAGGTTTGAGGTGTCTAGAAATTACAGTTATTGAGTTGGACTAGTTCAAATTTGACCCAAAGACAAAAAGAGGACTGAAATCAACCATTCTAAAGTTTTCACTTATCAAATAAAGCTTTAATAAATTAAAAACTGGGTTGAAATGCTTGTGCTATAAGAGTAGAGTAACATAATTAGGTGTCAAAGTATTATAGTATTTTCACTAGATTAGAATAAAACCCCCTATGAGGGGATATAGACCTTAATCATTTTATTTATATAGTTTTCAAGAGAGGCTGGGGTGGTTTTATTGAGGTAGTCTAGTTTTTACGTCATGTCGGTTAAGCCTTTAAATAGCCTGTCGTTATACCGCAGCACACCTGCTGCCTTACCGCTTAGCCACCACGCTACGTAAGACAACGCTACACACTTTAATATAGCCGCCATCACACATCTGCAGTCAGATTGCAAGACAGTAGTCACAGCTTACTAGCCTAACCATACTAAACCAGATACCCCAAAACGTATGGATGCTAACTTATTACGAACCACCTGTTAACCTGTCTGTAAGATTCAGTCGGTCTCTGTCCAAACATTGACCACGCTAATCAGGGTTATTCATTAGAGCTGATTTCTGTTCTCAAATGTAAAGAAAGCTTTGGAATGTGTTGGAATGCCTCATTTCCCTTCTATCTTTCTAATTTTTGTTGGCTGAGTGTATGAAAACTAGTAATCGGATAACTACGAAAAGGTTAGAGGTGGGTATGAGGTCGGCGTGTGGTTATTAGGTCGTATTAATGGAGTAATAGTGAACTCTTGTGAGTTGAAAATAATCAGTAAATGTGTGATTTCTCTTCCAGGATCCAGAAATCTTGTGCTGGGACCTGAGGGACACTGGGAAAGTTTTATTTTCCCTCAAGAGGAACGTGACCACGAATCAGCGCATCTACTTTGACCTGGACCAGTCAGTTGATCCTCCTAAAGCACAACCCTGCTAGCTGCTCTTCCCTTTATATACCATTATTCTTTCCTCTCAGATCAGGCAGATACCTGCTGAGCGGAGATACGGAGGGAGTGGTCTCTGTGTGGGACACTCACACGGCGCGTCCTGATGGAACCGAAGAGCTCCTGCAGCCACAGATCAGGTTCAAGGCCCACTGGGACTGCACCAACGGCATCAGGTATGATCACCTCACAGCGCTGCTGAAGAACCAGACCTCTGACTCAAACAGATGCAATAACCCACTTCCTCCTGAAACTTTTTGCTGACTGCTGTTAATTAAGTTTGTCCTAGTTACCCACCACAGAGACAAAGAAGCTTCACAGCAAAGAAATAAAAAATTAAACCACTCAAAATGAAACTTTGGGGTTGCAAGAAGCATAAATGATTGTATCGCACTTCAGCAAATTAAGAGCAGAACAAAAGCGTTGATGATTAGAAGGAATAAAGGGAACTGTCCAACTTGGATAAATGACTTTCATTTATTGACTCTCTTACTGTTCTAAAGACTAACGGTCCTGCTGTGTTTTACTGTTTGGAGCCTCCAATTATCTTTCACCAAAACAAAAGACATAACAGGACCCTACAGTGAGATCAGCATCTCGTTTCTCTGCAGGTTGTAGCTTAAGTATCAGAGCAGGCCGGTAAAATTAGTTTTCCTAGGTGGAAGTTTATTGGTTTAGTATTTTCTAATCTGGGGGAAAAAAGAGAGCAGATGAACATTAGTTAAGCTTACAGTTAATCTAATGGAAGTGATAACATAAATTCGGTTATAACTCCTTTACGACTTTATGACTAGACGTTTTAGCGATTTAAGATATCTCTAATTATATTTTGACTAGTCAAAATACCTATTCGAGATATCTCTAATTATATTCTGATTAGTCGAAATTTTCCATTAACTTGTATGGAGACACAAATTTAAGATATCTAGAAGGAATTACAGACTATCTGAAATACACTTTTCAGATATCCACGATTAAATTACGACTAGTCATAAAGTAATTTCAATATATCTCAAGTTTGGTTTTGACTAGTCATAATTCTAATTAAAGATACAGGTGCTGGTCATAAAATTAGAATATCATGAAAAAGTAGATTGATTTCAGTAATTCCATTTAAAAAG